GGAACGCCGTGCACAACAACCCCTGCAATCACTAGCCAGATTAGGTCAGACAATCCCCGGTATATTGATAGCCTATCAAATATACCTTTGAACCTCCTCGTATCTGTCTTTTGATTTCACTTGGTGGGTACGATTCATATTAGGTGTTACTGGTTAAAGCGTTGTCAAACTCCAAATACCTGTGGCATCTTCATTGCTGAGCCCGACGTGATCTGGTACACCAAATTGCAAACTGTGAGTCTATTCCATTTTGGGATTTTATATATCACTGCCTTATTTTAATTTTTTCTATACACTGTGATACTTTTTTCCGTGTTTTTGGATATATATATTTCGCTACTTTATGTGCTTCGTAAATTCCTTATAAATATGCTTATGTTCAAATATTACAGCTTATGTGAACGGATTGTACTTTTCTGACCGCTTGTTTAATCATGATGAGTCACTGAATAATTTACAAGTTATTGTGTTGTTCGTATGAACTATTGATTGTTTTGTAATTGATTCATAGTTGATTCCAAACTCTAAATCCAATACGTTTGTTTGCGCTCACCCAGTTCTATTTGGCCTAAAGCGCACCACTTCGTGAATTCCCAGGTAATACAATAATTCAAATACTTCTGATAATCATAGCTATACGTTTTCTCATGGGATTGTAGTTTATCACTTCTTATCACACGTCTATCCAATTAAAAGTTGTCCAAAGAATTCTTTATTTTAAAAATTATTTACTGTAACCACGTATCACTGTGTCATGTCAGCAAGGTAATAACGTTTAGTGAGAAATTCGGCAACAAAGACGTTTCCTTACGTCTTGTAGGCTTTTAGACAGTCTGTGTTTATTCCGTTTCTGTCAAGGATATAGTACATAGGTTTGAGATGAAGGAATCTTAAGGCTGCTTCTACAGCCATTTTGAAGAGCCTGCGTGATGAATCGTGGAGTATGAAAACGTATATTTATATATGAAGTAACATGCTGTAAACGAGCTCATCTACAGTCGATCCAACGTCTGTTGTGAGACGTTTGCAGCTTAGAGTGAATTTTTACTGCCTGTGCAATCGCTCTACCAACCCGTTCATCTGAGTGCGGTAAGCAGTCGTTCGGAACCGTGTGATTCTTAAAAGTATAGTCAGGCAACAGAAACGAACAGATTCAAGCTGGTGTACACGGTCTGTAGTAATAGACGAAAAGCAGCCGAAGTTTACTACCCATCTTTTGACGAAGATGAGGGCCACTGCCTCGTCAATAATGTCCTCGATGGTTACTGCCTCTAGCCATCGAGTGAAACAGTCTACACAAATCAAGAGACAAGAGTATTCTTTTTAGTCTGGTAAAAGCTCTACCAAATCAAGAGGAAAATGATCGAAACGAGAGTCGGAAGTCTTGGAAGTGCCTCATAGGTATTTGTTGTGTCTAATGGCCCTATATTTCAGGCAGTTTACACAGGACGGTATCCACTTCTTGTCCAGACCAGGCCAATGAAATCGTTCTGTCATAAGTTTGATGGTTGCTCGGACAGCTGAATTAGGGAGTTTTTGTGAACCATTAAAAACGTTAAGTCCATAATGTTTTGGCACAATTGGTCGATCCTTATCTGTAGATAAAACACATATTAGAGCTTTCTTACCTGTTCTCATTTATTTGATCCGTAGTTTTCGGGTTGTAGAAGATAACCCATTCTGAAGGTTGTTGTTTTATTTTTGAAGCTAAGCACATTTATTAAGCATAATAACTCGAAAACTGTTCAAGGAAGTTATACGAGACAACGCGTCTGCCATTACGTTGTTTGCCCTAGAAATATGCTATATATCTAAAGTGAATTGCAAGAAGTAGTTCAGTAGCTGAGACTATTGAGATAACCACTTGTTTGATGAGTAAAGAGAAGAGATGAGAGGACTCTGACCGGCAAACAAAATGAATTCTCAACCTTCCAAGAAAACGGATGTAACATCCTGATACGTAAAAATAAGTGGAATAGGAAGATAACATACTACTTTACAACAAGCAACCAGACCACAATTAGATGTTTGGTGTTACCAATCACGCCCAGCCCACCTTCAAAGATGTCACAGATATTCAGGGTTTGACAATGCCTTTACCTGTGACACTTTTATAAACAAAGGATATCAACCAAGTAAAATCAGAATGCATTCTAGAAAGAGTTACAGAACTATTTATTTCAAATTGTACATCTCTCGTGAGGACTTTAAAAGACCAGTTTCACAGAAATCACAAAAATCGTTATATTGGACGACAACGCATGGAAACCACTCTCCATATTCAAGGAAATTATAACAAAATCAACTATGCTCGCAAAACAATGACTTCAAACCACATTCTGTATCACCTTAGGGACATTCCATTAAATAATTTTAAGAGTCTTAAAACGAATGGGCGAACAACGCTTGACAACGCTTTTCATTCTTCTCAAGTTGGTTAACAGATACTAAATCGGATTATAGCATTTTCGACACGGAACTCCTAGCTGTGTATTGTGTTGTAAGGCGCTTTCAAACCCTTTGAATGGCCGAGAACTTATTATTTGGGTACGACATGCCACACATCCCTCTCAATTACTAGCGCGCTTAGACCAGACGTTTCTCGACGCATCGAAAAATTTCCAAATTTGTTCTTGAGTTCATTCGTTCTTGACTACTGCTACTTCGTTAATATCCTTCGGTAATGACGATAACACGGGTAAAAGCATTGTCATACTCTATATATCTGTGATACATTTGCGTCGATTAATACTTATCAATGCGCAACTTCTTGATTAATTTTAATGGCTACCACTTTTTTTCTAGAATGTGGATACCTCAAACGTTGGTGTCCATGATAATTAATAAGGCTGGCCGTCGTTTGAGGTTTATAAATGTATAATGTAGTGCCCTGTTTTCAGAGTTGTTAGACAACATGGGATAGATACTAGAAGTGGGATTCTTTGTTCACAGTTGCCACAGAAAAGACGGAAAAACTTGAAACCCCTGAATACGTCTTAGTTGGAAAGTTTGTGCAGAATTTCTCGAGACGATATGCAAGCGCAATATTTGTACAGTCCAAGAGTGATGAAGAAATCCATTTTGTGAATTTCATCTGTAGCCATAGGAAATTGGTTACGCGCTCTAACCAAGTCGACTTTTGAGAAAGTAGTTTTAACTCCGAACATAATTGTCTGTCCGCGAATGCGCGGCAACAGGTAACCATAAGATGATTTTTTTGGTCATAGACTTTGGGTGTTTAGGAATATAATGTGTTTAGGAGAAAAAAAAGGATGGAATGAATATCTAATGTGTCGAGGGATCATTCATGATGATAATATCAACAATAATCATAAGCAATAAACATAAGCAGACTTCCGTTATTAAAATGAACAGAAAAAAATAGAAGAGGGAAGTTTCAAAGGTTATACTTTGCTTTTCAGTCAGTTGAATAGTTGGGCAACCTTGTTTGTAGAAATCAGTATTAAACGCAATGATGTTCAATAGGTGACACAATTCACTTTCGGAAAGAAAGTCATCAATGAGACTTCTGGACCGGGTTATAGATTCACCGCAATGGTGGTTCTATAATATTTCCCTTATTGCGTAGGTACGATGAAGAGGATGACCACTGGTTATATTCACCGGCTTAGTGTAGCATAATTCAAAGCGGACAATTTGGATACGTTCTTCTAAATTAGATTTAAATCAAGACTAAAAGGGACTACGTACAAAAAATGAAGTAGGTTTTAGAATTTTGTTTGAGACACTATCGAAGGCCTGCTAAAATCGGAGTGCAGAATTATCACTGACTGACTAGCATTCCTTCTCTGTGTAATTTGGTAAAACATTTCATGTGAGATGTGAAGCATGAACGTTTAGTCATAAACCCATGTTAGGACGAGCCAATCACGCTGGACAGAAGTAAAAATGATAATAGCTTTTGTGGATGATGTCAAGTTAATGGGTCTATGGGTAGTAATATCTCTACAAGATCTCTTCTTGAATCTAGGGGTGACAAGTAATGAACAGGCTCCATAGTCATAGATAGGTCAAACAGCTTTAAATAAAATAATGTGAAATCTCTACTACCGTGTTTTAAAAATGATGAAGGAATCCCGTCACGTCCACGGTTATAGGACTTTTTCAGGGCAGCTATGGTCTGCTTGGTGTTAGTATATATGGAATCAATTTTGGATAGATGTCTAAATGTCGACATTGGAAACGCATTGACAGAGGTTTCAGTTTCAGTTTTTTAGAATTGCGAGAAATGATCACTGAATCGGTCACAAATAGTATCAGGATCGTCAACAATGCTTCCATTAAGTATGAAGAATTCGGTTGTGTCATTTGAATTCGATTTCAGACAGGATTTTAAAAGCCGATTTATAGATAACTCTTAGCTTTTACTGCCTAGGGCTTTATTCTTCATAATTGGAACAGTGCAGTTAAGTCAATATCTCAGATTGTGATATAAGTCGGAAAGCACAGTGTCAATATTATTTATGGTGAAATAAGGTTCCCATGGTAAGCATGGAATAAGATTTTCAATGCGTGTCCAGGTACATTTTTTCAGCTTCAGAGTTCAATTTTACAGTATTTAGAGAATGAATAATACTCAATGTATTTCTATAATCACTAATTAAAACTCATAACTAATGTGCACTGAGAGTCTATGTAAATAAAACTGGCGCGAACTTTGAAAGTGGTAACATTTTTTCACGTGGTTTAGGAATTCTTCGACTTGCTCTTTTGTAGGGTGTATTATACTGTGATTATCATCCTATCCTGTACATCGGGAACATCTCACCACGAAACATAAGAAAAAACTTATTTTTATTCGACGGACAATTACCAGTTCGTATTGTACCTATTGCGGACTTAAGTCGTAAATAGGTCTGCAATTTATTATATACTCACAGTCTCTAATCCTAGTATTAACCAGGTTAATACTTAATAACATTTAATACTCAGATATTATATTTAATTTAACGAGCACTGTGCTCACTTATATTCATATCATGTCCAATAACTCCAGTAAAAGAGGAATTTCACCAACTTCTAAGCCAAATAAAAGGTCCAAATCTGTAACCCCTACAACTGACGACTCAGTGCTTGACAATGTCGAACCTTTAACTACTGAAAAATATGTGCATTGTACACAAATGTCCCTATCGTCACCAGATTCTCCATGTCGCAGCCCCTCTATCTTTACGTGCAGTATGCCAACGGTAAGACTGGTTGACATACAAGACACTATACCTACGTGCATTGAAAAGTCAGCACAGTCTACTAAACAGTATGTGCTACCAAGGCCTAAGTCTAAAATTTCAAAAACTAAAGAGTCCAATGGTCCACCTCATACGCACCAAAATACTGATAGATATAGTAATGACATCCGACAGCTACAAAACTCTCTATCCGAAATTAACGGCAAACTTGAGCAATTAGCACCCCTCACTCATATATGGGGCCTTGATACAGACAGAAATCTTGAGCAACTCACTAAAGCTGAGTGTATTTTGGAGTTTGTGGCTGAAGAAGTGACGAAGAGAGTAATGTCCTCCTTCAATGCAGTTGTGTATAACCTCCCCGACCGCACACACCCATCTAAGTTAAGAGATATTTGCCTTAGAGCATGCGGTATGCCGAACGTTAACTGCAAAGTCATCCGCCTTAGAAAAAAGTCAGACAGATCAACTTGCCCCCTCTTGTTTATGTTTGGCTGTTGTAACGATGCTAAGCAGTTTATTGATTTGAGCAAAAACATTAGCTCACTAATTCCATACAAAAATATAAAAGTCACTCCAGACCTTACGCCCTGTCAACGTCGTGTAAGAAGACGCGAAGCGATAGAATTGAATGGGAGTGTTACAGTTAATAATCAGCCAGAGACAGTTTGCAACACAGCAAATAGTTTAAAACACACGAACATTAAGCATGACACCACTCCACATACGGCTGATCACTCTGTTGATCTAGATGAGTCTACAGATCAGAAACCTTTGGATAAGATACGGACCCCAACTGACACCAAAAACCATAACGACATGACTAATCCCAGCTGTTCATTCAGTAATGTACTAAAATGTGAGTCGTGTAACAACACACATCCAACTAAACCTATACACTTGAAAATTTGTCCTCCTAAAGACATTCCACAAGTAGACTTGAATGAACGTAAGTTCATCTCACAAAGACAACGAAAGAATCCTGCTCTGAAAATAAAGGGTGGGAAGACAAAACTCATGATACCGAATAGGGAAACACGTAAGATTGAACCCAACTGCTCTATAGGTATCCCAAGAACAGTGAACAGGTTCTCCCCGCTGCTATCGTATAACTTGCCTTCAACACCTCCAAGTTGCAAAAAGGGTGGTGGGCTTCAACGTAGCAAGCCTTCTTACACGCAGACTAACGAAAACTACCAGAGAACTGGCCACCCAAATCACCCTCTGAAGCCTAAAACCATAAATAAGAATGGTAATAATAGGTTTCTCACTCCACACCCTACCTACATTCCCCAGGATCGCAACTGTAATTACTCTCAGAAAGAAAACTTCTCTCACCCTTTAGTACCGACCCATCACATAACAACGGCTCCCATGTATAACAACAGTCGCAACTCCTCCCAGTTACGCGTAGCAGACCCCTCTCGCGCTAACGTAAAAAGCCATAACAGGGGCTACGAGTCTAACCATCAAGACTATTTTGTAAATAACCATACACTTCACAGTAGGCCTGTACAAGATTTTTTTGGAATAAGACCCCTAGTGACACCTCTGTTGAAGCATATAGCCCAGGTTATTTCAAACCACATGCAAACCATAAATTTGTTTCCTCCGTACAGTTTCCATCACAGAGTACTCCCACCCTTTCCTCCTGGGTAAACTCCCCAATCAACTTCACCAGCTCATTTGATACATCTCCCAATAAGTTTAGCTATCAAAATACCGAGCTAATGAAGAACATCCAATCCCTCACATCAAACTCATCTTACACTCGCGAGGGTTACGACGACTTTATCCGAGATACCCTCACCCATTTTAACTTAGTAGGCCACTTGCTTAATATATGTCTTATCAACGCTCGATCGATCTGCAACAAAAAGACGGATTTAGCCCTGTTTGTATCCATATATCAACCATCAGTTATTATGATATCTGAAGCATGGACTAACAGTAATATTTCCGACCGAAGCATATCTCTAGATAACTATTCCCTATATAGAAGCGATAGATTGAATGGACGAGGCGGAGGATGCCTTATTTACGCTCACTCTAGCCTGAACTCACTGCTATGTGATATGCCTGAACTAAACAAACTGAAGGATTCGGTGTGGATTGTATTAAAGCCGTCGAATTCCGTTACCTTACTGCTCGGCTGTGTTTATCGTCAACCTAACGCATCAATAGATGAAATAGCAGTATTATCGGAGGTATTCACGCTAGCATCATCCCTCTCATTCACAGGCAAGCTCATTTGTGGTGACTTCAATATGCCCGAAATTTCTTGGCTGCCAGTCAAAGCGCCGAGACGTTATGAATCATTTATTGAATGTCTAGAGCTTGGACAATGGACTCAGTATGTCGATAGCCCTACCAGACATCAAAACATCTTAGACTTAGTCTTTACCAGTGGCCTCATCCCCAATACTTTGTATATTGGAAAAAAGTTCCCAGGTAGTGATCATAACATTGTCATATGCAGCCTTAATGTAAAAACCACAACCGATAGAAGTAAAACCGTAACACTTCGTAGAAACTATCGCAAGGTTGATTGGAATAACTTCCACAATTACCTAAGAAGCACTGATTGGAGAACTTTCTTTACCTCAAACAATACCGACACATTAACCAATATATTTTATCACAACATCAAAAGTATCATCAACAACATCGCACCTTTAGAATACTGTAAACCTACGTTCTCCAAAGATCTCTATATACCGGTCAGTACAAGAAGACGTCTTCAAAGACATTGTACTCGATTCCACAACTTAAATGACTTTTCCTCTTTAGTAACGATGACAGAAATACTTGTCCGAACAGAGGCAATAAGTAAACAAAAAGCAGTAGCACAGGAAAAACGTGCAGTTGAACTTAATAATAACTCCTCTGCACTCACCATACTACTCCAAAATAAACTTAAACGCTCTAAATCGAGAGGGAGTATATTCATTAAAGGCAAACAAGTATACGAAGATCCCAAACTTATCACAGAATTATTCAGTGAACATTTTTGTTTCTCACTAACTAACGAAAAACCATTTAATGATTCAGAACCAATCCCAGTAACTCCCTGTGAAATTACTAATGTAGAATTCAGTGTACAAAATATCTCCAAAGCAATCAGTACATTGAAACACTCCTACACTGATGGACCAGATGGTATTCCATCTAGCATGCTAAAACGTGGAGGTGATGATATGTGTGTTTTGCTTCTCAAACTATTCGCGATATCACTCTCTTCAGCGTGTTACCCTACTGCCTGGAAAACTACACATATCATTCCCAAAATTAAAACAGGACCTGAAGCAAACGTTGAAAATTACCGGCCTATAAACATAACTTCAGTGGTATCCAGAGTGATGGAAAAAGTAGTTAAGGCGGCTGTAGTCCAACATCTATTAACTAACAATCTCTTGTCGACCTCCCAGCATGGATTTCTTAGGTCCAGATCATGCGATACATGCCTAGTAGACTACCTGAATGATATAACTCTGAAACGAGACAGCGGACTCCTTGTATCAGTCCTATTCCTAGACTTTAAGAAAGCCTTTGATAAGGTCCCACACAAAAGGCTACTCGTCAAACTAAAGTCCTTCGGAATACACAACCCACTGTACTCATGGTTTGCTTCGTTCTTAACAGAACGTAAACAGATGGTAAAGTACAATGACTGTCTCTCGTCCCCTAGACCAATCACCAGTGGAGTCATCCAGGGAAGCGTATTAGGGCCACTTTTGTTTCTTATGTATATAAACGATATATGTAACACCATAGAATTTGGGAAACCGTACTTATATGCTGATGATCTCAAAATAGTATACAGCTATAAGCCTGAGACACTAAGCGAAAGTGTATCCCAGATCCAAAAGGACCTCAATAACTTAACTATATGGAGTGAAAAATGGCAATTACCATTTAACCTCAACAAGTGCGGGATCATGCACTTTGGAAAGCATCCCTATAAACCGCGACTTCACTTAAATGAATGTATAGTCCAAACACTCGAATCAGTACACGATTTAGGAATTAATTACACAGGAAGCCTAAACTTTGAAGAACATGCCTCCTCTATTATTTCTAAATCTAGACGGCTAATTGGTTTTATAATGAAAAACTTTTTCACAACAGAGGGTAAACTTACTCTCTACAAAATATGTGTACGACCCACCCTTGAATACTGCTCTTTTGTCTTCTCTAATATGAATATCGCAGACAAGATAAGAGTAGAAGATGTTCAAAGACGTTTCACACGTCAACTACTAGGATGTAACTCGAATCTCGATTACACAGACAGATGTAAGCATCTATCTTTAGAACCTTTATGGCACCGTAGGCTAAAACACAATTTAATATTTCTCTACAAAGCGATATATGGGCTCTCCTTTCTAACCTCCTGCCCGACTATCACCCACGACCCAGCCTATAGACTTAGAAACAACGCATATACACTACTTACCGTAAAACACCAAAAACAAATGCGTTGTAAGTTCTTTACAGTACGGTACAGTTTATTGTGGAACAGGCTGCCAATGCCTATCCGTAACTGTGATACGTTTACCAGATTCAAAAAGCTAATAACCCTATTTCTAGACTCCAAAGAGCTTCAACATTACCTTGAACTCCCGCCCACCGATGAGGCACTTTATTACGGACCGCCTAGTATCTAGAAAGAACAAAATTATAACAAGTTCGACTGTTACTAATATGAATATAACCAAATCACAGGATATATGGCTTATCCTTTCCTATTATTCATTGTTTATTAATCATGACTTCATGCTCCTAACCCTAGCTTTCAGTCCCCAAATCTCTACAGGTTAAATGTACATTATTCTTCCTAAAAGTCATGCTTTTTTTTCTACTGCAAGTAGACAGATAGCTCAATCTTATGGATGCTGATCTACTAAGGCCGATCATTCAAAGCTCAAAATTTGGCCACAAAGTCTTGTGAGTTTCTCAATGTTTTATTTTTTTTACCCTAAAGTCTTTTTCTTTTTTTTTTCTACAATTTTATACCCTCTCATATCTTTTGATTTACTATTAATCCTTACTTCTTTAAACCATTAGTTATTTTCATAGCAGTGTGATATACTATATGGACATCTAACCCATAAAACAGAATTTTTAAATATCTGATTTGCTTGTAACATGGACCTAGTAGAGACAGTGTATTCCAACTATGTACTTTGATTAAAGCATTAATCATACTTACCACAAACGTAAGAGAGCCTAACATCACAAAAGGAGGGAGGGTGGCGTTACTGACCAGCAAACATGAAGGTGGGGAGATAACTTCAATCCACCCATGTCTGTAGGGCAGAACATTTTGTTTAATTACGGCTCCTTATGGTTTAGTGGGATGTCACGGACTTAAGGTATTGAAGCTGATTTATCACGCAAAATACCTCTTTAAATCGTGTTACGAACGTTGAATTGGTTTCACTTCCTACTCAGAAATCCTATTACAAGCAAACTAGACAATTCGCTAATATACGAAGCCTACTCAAGACCCTATAAAACCTTAAAAAAAACGAAAGGGGCTCTAATAGCTTCGATAATAAAAGGAAGATAGCCAGTTGTATATCACAATACTGTTTCTAGCACTATATTTTATTTTATAATCACACATAATCTTATACTCTCAGCTCTTTTCCGAATCGCCTCCATTTGTCAGTTGTATGTCCACTCACACCTTGCTAAAGCTTATTTTCTTTAACCTATTAAAATGCTCTTTCTTAACAAATACCTTAATAAAAGAAAATTAGACTGAGTAATCATACCTTAAACATTCCTACATGAATATTGGCTACTCTGCCTCTCGTGTTTTCTTTTACTTCCTCCCTCTTTCAGCCCCTTGAGATATGGAACAGGTTACTTCATCCTGCACCATCCTTAAAGCCTTGGATATCCCAAAGGGACATAAGGTTGCGATTTCTAGAAGCTCATACCTTCAATGGACCTATTCTTGATCGTCAGTCGCACATTCGCAACGCAACTCTCGTGAAGCGCGCCAACTGTAGTACTGATTAAAACAATCTACATTCATGTCTTATAAATTTTCAACCCAGCTATGTAATTTAATACAGTGTATATTGTATCATTTGTATCAATTTGATCTTGCCTGTAAACTGGCATGCCTCATGTAACAAACTGTTATTTGAGAATAAATTATTATTATTATTATTAATTGCAAATATTGAGTCAAGTATATTATTCGTCGTAGTCGGCTTTCAGACTTGTTTAACCTATCCACAAAGTTCTTATTTTTAAAATAACTTGTTATATTGACCTGGTACCGAAGTCGGACTCCATGTAGTTTTTCGCACATTAGAATAACCTCCGATGGTTTCAAAAGTATACGGTTGGTATGAAGCAATAAAAAGTACGTTTGTTAGTAATTTATCAAAGATAGTATCCACATGATGTGGTCTGTATATGGAACCCATCAGTAGATAATTTCGAAATCCACAATTAACGGTAAACCGAGTGAAGTCATCTATAGCATCAACACATTCATTGCTAACTTTGCGCTCCTAAATGTCCGAACGGATGTAGATAATTGTACCGCTTCGTATTCGATGACGTCTATCGGTTTGGTAGAAAACTTAGCTATTTACGTTCAGGAAGTGATCGGCCATGAGTGGTTTGCACCAGGTTTC